AGTCCATAGTTTTCAATCTCTCATCTCCGCAGACTACTGGCCAAGCCAATCACTCACCCACCGCTGGAGACAAAGTCCGGGCCAGCCAAGACATCTGGTCGACCCAATCTCTCCCCACCATGGCTCGAGACTAAGTCAGGCTCAGCCATCTGGTCGACCAGAGCCACCAAGCAACAGTTCTCCTGGCCACCCTTTTTGGGGAGTGCTGGTCGACCTCTGGGGAGGGGAAGGGGCGGGGAGAGGGGAGCCGGCCCTTGGCCCCACTTGGAAAGGGATGGCATCCACCGCCACCCACCCCCTCCTCCCTGTCCCAGCCTGGGCCCCAAGGCCACAGTGGGGTTCCGGAGAGGAGGCCAGGGCTGGCCGGTCTGGGCGCCAAAGGAAGGTGAATGGACGCCGAAGCCATTCCCCTCCCCTTCCTTCCTTGGTTGCCCTGAGGGGGATGGCCGCCCTGTCTGGGAAGGAAGAGAGGCCAGAGGGAGACAAACCTTTGTGTCCAGGGCTGACTTTCAATAGATCACAGTGAGGGAGCTGCTCTGCTACCTACGACATCCCGACCTAGAAGCCTGTGGTCTGGAAAGGTTTAGCACTAGGCTCCCCACCAACGTGGCTTCCCTGAAGGGCAAGGGGGCGGCCCCCTTTCCGACCACACCCCGTTTTCCAGGATGAAGGGCTCTCCGCACTGGACCCCGGTTACAATCTTTAGACCAGAATGCATAAGCATTCCAGCAGGCAGCTTAAGTACAACGAAAGCTGCTAGTAAATGTGTTTGAAAAAGAAAAACCAAGATTGAAGATGATTTATCTGTAGTTTTCACAATTAAACTATGAATAAATGATATCAACATTGTAATAAAGTCTTTTTTTTCCATCTCCCATGTTTTCAATGAGGGACCTTTCATTGAAGAAAATAGCTGTATTGTTCTTTCTGCTCATAGAACTCTTCCCTGGACCATATTTTTCTCACACAGGCTTAGCGGTGCTCGTTTTTGCTCTCTGAACTCTGAACTATTGCCACGTGCACAGCACAGAGAGGTTTACTTACTGCGGAACGTAATGCCAGAAATCTTCAGTAGGAGTCACATAGTTTTCATCACAGGAATAGTAAAACCATTGTTTTATCGGTGCTGGGAAGTATGATCTATACTTGTCTTCCTTGTATAGGAGTCCATGCTTTATTTCTGGAAATTCACAGGGATTTACTAGCAATTAAAACAAACAAAACACAGTACAAGTAATGTTTTACCTTAATAAAAATGTAATGAGAGATTCATTGTTTCATTGATGAATTATATTCTCATATGCATCTAATTACACTCATTGCATTAAGCTTTCTAGGACAAGAAATATTGTAACCTTCAGATGATGTGAATAACACTTGTTTTCTGATCATTTCACAATATATACAAACATCAAATCAGTATCTACATCATGATTATTTAAATGATATTTTATCTACATAAATCATCACTCTCCTTGTCATTGTTATGGACACTGAGCTCTGTGTCATGATGGTCATGGCCTCCTCTTTAAGGCACCTGACTGTCCACATTTATTAGGCCTTGGACTTGAATGAACACTGAGCCATTGACCTGTTATGTGTGTCATTTCATTTTCCATCCGTGGAAGATCCAGCTTAAGTGCGGGCCCCCTTTCCAATGAGCTGATACACAAGGAGCAGCGATGAGATGGTAGAGACAGAAAACACTGGAAAAGGGGCAGCCCCCCCAGGAATAAAGTGCCCTGTGGACTGAGGGGCGTGTGTGACAGGTGGGGCTTTAGAAAGTGCACAATGTCTCCCACATTCGTCCTCCTCATACAAGGGAGCCCCGTGCCCCTCCTTTGAGTGCGGGTGGAAATCAAAGACTGCATTGAAGTCCTCTGCTTTACCTTCTCAGTGAGGCAAAGATTTGGACCTCTTAGGTCCCTTTCATTTTTTAATTTTCAGTTTTTTAAATTGATTTCAGATGCACAAATTCATGCACCGGGCCTCTAGTATTTTAATATTTAAAAATCATTAATAACCATTTAATTAAGTTTGGTACTAGGAAGCTTCTTGATAACAGCTTTTATTTAAATCCACATGTGTTGCTATCTGCTGCCTCCTGCAATACCCCACACTAGGGATTGAGCCCCCCAAACTGGGCTGGTTCCTTGACTAAGAATTGAACCATGACCTCCTAGTTCACAGGTCAATGCTCAATCCCTGAGCCACGCCAGTCAGACAGATCCCCTGTATTTTTAAGTTTAAGAGAAGTAATTGCAGAATTAAGAGCAGGTGAAGATCTGGAGGGAACTTACAGCTACATCTTGGAGGAGGATCCCAGCCTTTGTCCGTACATTTTGCAGTATTTCCCCGGGAGGAAGGGAAAAAGCCACTTGTGCAGTAGTATGTGATTTCTTGTTCCAGTCCGTAGTTGGCCCTTTTAGGAAGGTAGTGACTGTTTGCAATTCTTGGTGGGTCACATGCTATTTCTGAAAAGTAAAAGGACATGCCCATTATGCAGAAATCACCTGAAAATCTTCAAGGACATGAGAATAAAGCGAATGTCATATTTTTGTTCTTTCCAAAGAGCAACAGGCCATTCAAACGAGCACCCTGTCCTTATATATATATCAGCAACGATTATATTAAAACTAGCAGAAAATATATGTGACCTTCTAACACAAGTGTTAAGTAAATTATGTCTCCAGAGTTTGATGTTAATTGACACTCACCTCAAATGAACCTGAAAAAAATGTTCATTTTTTTGCCAGGCCGGTGTGGCTTGGGGGTTGAGTATTGACCTATGAAGCAAGAAAGCATGGTTCAGGGCACATGCCTGGTTGGGGCCTTGATCCCCAGGAGTGGGTGTGAAGGAGGGAACCCATCAAGGATTATTTTTCATTCATCATTGATGTTTCTACTCTCTCTCCCTTTCCCTTTCTCTCTGAAGTCAATAAACTATATTTTAAAAATTAAAAATATATTTATTTTCTCTCACATTTTAACCTGCTATATCTATAAATCAGATTTTCATGTTACCAGTGCAGTCCAGTCTACATATCTTAGTTTTCATTTCATAATATAGCTACACTTAACACCAATGTATGAAGTCCAAAGCTGTGAGACACATATAAAAACACACATTTCCCTAAGAGACCAACCAAATGCTATTGGGAGAATCTTGTTAGATTAGTTAGGAATAGAAGAACTTCTGGTGGGTGCTTTCAAGCAGTGGGCATACATCCCTTGACAAATTGTAATTCTCTACTCTCATCATCTCCATGAGAGTAAACGGTGCTGTTAAAACATTGCCGGTGCCGGTGCCTCTGTCCAAAAGAGTAACAGCTGAGACTGTACAAAGTGTGAGGCCACATTGTTCCTACTGTGAGAAGCCATCATTGAGATTTGGAATAATAATTCCATATGGACACTCCCTGTTGTGATTCAGTAGAAACATCCAGTTTGTACAGGGGACGGATGAATTGGGCCAAAGGTGGTTTCTATGTAACCGGTCTCAGTACTTTTCATCATTCCAGCAAATGACTTATTGTGAGAGATTGTCCCTAATGAATGCAGAGACCAAAGTGTTGGTAAATTACCCTCCAATAACCCTAGTGGTGGGATCGACTCCTGGTCAAGGGTACACATGTCTCGGTGGCAGTTTCTATCCAAGGCCCTGGTTGGTACTTGGGGTAGAGGTACCCAGTCTCTCTCATATTGATGTCTCTCTCTGCCTCTCCCTTTACCCTTTTTTCTCTCTCTCTGCCTCTCCCTCTACCTTTTATCCTCTCTCTTTCTACCTCTCATTCTCCCCTTTTTTCTCTCTCTTTCTCTCCCTCTCTCTTTACCCTTTTTTCTCTCTCTTTCTACCTCTCCCTCTACCCTTTTTTGTCTCTCTCTTTCTCTCCCTTCTCCCTGCTGTCCTCTCACTCTAAAGATCAATGGAGAGAGGATTGAAAGATCAATCTTCATGTGGGGATTTAAAAAAAACAACTTAAAGACACATGATAAAGGTCAAATGCTACTTAAGAAGGAGCTAAATATTCCCGTCAGTTTCCACTCACCTTGTCCACGAGCCCAGGAGACCCACAGGGTGAGGATGACCGTGACTAGTAACTGCATGGCGGGCTCCCCGGGGGTGTTAGCACAGATCGTCCAGCGCTGCTGTTTGGGGTTTCAAATGAGCCCTTACCAAGTGTGAGGGAGACCTCGGATTTAAGTGAAATACCAGGATGGATACTAGTTGACTGAGGTCACTTGATAGATATCAAATTTCAGAGTTTTGGACCATCTGTAAATTTTCGTGAGTGATTTCACAGTGAATCATTTCTTGACTTCATTCCCTGACATGTATTTGTACAAATTTCCTTAGAAACGTTATACACTGGATCCAAAAGTGATATAAAACAATTTTCTTTAAATGAAACACTTCTTGAGGATGGGTGAGGCTCATTCTCAACCAGGAGATTCACTTGGGAGTAACTCTGACTGCCTGTCCCTGAGATGGTCTCGCGTCCTCTCGTTGCTCTCACTCAACTACAGTCCTTAGGGGCCTATGGACACCAGCCAGTGTATTCACACAGGGTACGTTCCTGTCTGTAGGACAGCACTGTTTTTTTGTAAACTCACAACAGACCACACCACCAAATCCAAGAATTTCAGCACACTCTTCACATTCAATATTTTTCACATGTTTTATTTCCCTTTAGAGAGAGAAGGAGGCAGAGGGAGAGATAGAAAGATTGAGGACACTTGGAATTGTTTTCATGTGCTTTCACAATGGGTTATGAGAAAACAGAAATTCAGTTCCCATATTGACTTAGGATCAGGGAAATTGTTCATTGACCAGATTAGTTAAGATTTGTCACTTTAAAATAACTGATTATTTTTTGTCAAATAGAAGAGCAAAGCTTCGACTCTGTCAAACAGTTCAAGCCCTACAGGTGGAAACAATGAGAACTGCCCTTCTTTGTCACAACAAGTCTCCTTCAGTCCACGATTCACTTCTGAATCCAGTTAGAGAATGTAGGGAAGGGGGAGGAGAGATGGAAAGAGAGAGAGAGAGAGAGAGAGAGAGAGAATATTGATGTGAGAGAGACACATCAATTGCTTGCGTCTTGCACATCCTCCAACTGGGATAGTCATCAAACCTGCAACACAGGTACATACCCTTGACCAGGAATCTAACCCTAGATCTTTTGGCCCACAGGCCAATTCTGTGACCACTGAACCACACCAGAAAGGGCAATTTTACTTTTTAATATTTTTATTGATTTCAAAAAGGAAGGGAGAGGGAGAGAGAGATCCAAACATCAATGATGAAAGAGAATTATTGGTCAGTTGCCTCCTGCAAGTCCCCCATTGGGGATCAAGCCTGCGACCCAGGCATGTGCCCTTGACTGGAATCGAACCCGGGACCCCTCAGTCCACAGGCTGACGCTCTATCCACTGAGCCAACACGGCCAGGGCTATCTTTCATTTATATAGTAT